AAAGTACTTACCACCATTCAACTTTGCAAATATATCTTCCGGCACAGGTAAGGGGTACTGGTGATCATCCAGCGCGGCGTTGAGGCCAGTTGAAAAATCAGCGCAGACGCGTACCTTGCCATTTGCTTTCTTTACTGCGACAATAGGTGCCGCCCATGATGAGTAGTTGACGGCTGTGATGACTCCGGCACGTTCCAGTCGATCGAGCTCTTGCTCAACGATTGACATGGCTGCATATGGTACCGGTCTTTTAGCCCTGAACACTGGTTTAGCACCTGGTCGCAAGTTCAGTGTTGCCTTGAATTTCGTACAGTGGCCCAAGCCATCCTGAAAGACAGAAGCAAATTTTCGTTTCAGGGTACGTGTCATGTCTTCAACAGACTTTGCAGATGGGTCTGGACTTGCTCGAACTCGGTTGCAGATCTGATTCAAGGGAACATCCAGGAGGTTCAACTTTTCAATCCAGTCGAGGCCAAGAAGATTCAAATTTGGCCGGTCCGAAATGTAGCATGTTCCCGACTTCTCCACACCTTGGAAAGCAATCTTGCAATTGAGTTCGCCGACTAAGTTTAACAGACCGCCGGATGCATTATGTGCAACTTTCTGGGAGTCGACCAACTTCGGCCTCTTTATGTGATTCCATGTGCGCCTGGAAATGATTGTGATGTCTGAGGCCGTGTCAAATTGCAGTTTGGTTGGAATCCCATTGATCAACACAGTGATGAATCGTCGTCTCGGTTTACATTCGCTTTGGAATGCGGCAACTATGGAGAGAGACTCAGCGCCGCCCCTTCTAGAATTAACCTTACGATAAGACTTCTGCACTTTCTTCGACCGGACTTGACTGCAGCATTCCTCTTTATGCCCACGCTTATGGCACGTCCGACAAATATGATGTTTGAAGGGACAAAAGCGAGCGAAATGCCATTCGCCGCATGACCAGCATGCTGTGGGCGGTTTCTTCGTAGGCCTCTTGAAGGGTCTGCTTGCGTTGACGGTCCTGGCTTTTTTCACAAGTTGCACGGTATCTGGTGATGCTAGACCATTGCTTTCGACCATGGCAGTGTCGTGCTTTAGTGAGCAGTCGTTTGCATTCGCTAACGAGGGCCTTCAGTGTCAGATCCGGGTCCTGCTCCAGCTTAGCTAAAAGCCGCGTTCGGATCTCAGCATCACTGGGCGATTGTAGAGCACTGACGAAAATGAGACATTTAAACTGATCGTCCGTTAAAGAACGTAATTTGAAACGTTCACACTCACGGTTAATCATGTCAGATAAGGCCCCAAAATCGTCCGCTTCCTGTTTGACAATTTTTAGGCATTGATAACGAATACTAAACAAGGACACCGACTCACCAAAAATTTCTTTCAACTGCGACACTGCTTCGTCAAATGTCAGATCCTTCGGCTGTTTGGGCAAAATGTGGTCTATGAACCTTGAATGTTCACTTATTCCGAGCTTGCGGAGTAGCAATCGCACCTTCCAGGAGTCGTCCTGATTTATGAAATCCGTCTGGAACATGTCTTCCCAGCGTTTGAACCACGCTTCAAAAGTGCTTCCAGAATCCGCATCATAATGGAATTCAGTGATGGCGTTCGTGAGAAGATCAACAGAACTCGCCTGCGTGTCCCGCGTCGCTGCTCCAGTTGTCTGCAAACTCAAGCATTTTGTCAGATTTTCAATCATTTTCATTTGCGCCTCCATTTGAGCTTGCTGTTGAAAAAGCAGCTTTTGAAATTGTTCGGCAGAAAAATTCAGCACATTTCCACTTTTCTCCGTCGCCATTTGTTATAATCTTCTCACTAGACGTAACTCCAAAAATAACAATTCACTGCTCCGCAAAACTTCTAGCCCAACCGAAGGAAAAAAAACAGAACACCAATGACCCTGACAAATAACGTATTAATCGCAGCCAACGAACACTGTACAACGACTGAGGACCCTAGCTGTATTTATAGGTCTCTGCTGACCTTCGACTTCTAGAATTGGAAGGTCAGCTGCCAAGGTTAGTGGTTCCCCATATCTTTTCCCGAGAGGTCAGGTGGATTTTGATCACGTGTAGAAGCAGAACATTCAGGAACGTTCGAAATCGATACGATAATCGTTAACAATCGAGTAATCGCTAAAATAGGGAATTTCCAAGGCAATTCTTACTTTCTCCCGGACAGAGAGCTCATTTTTCAGAAGCAGCGCTACAATTTGTGTGCGCCAAGCCGCAATGACAAATAGACCCCGCTGGTCTACGCGCGACTTCGTAGGTTTGAACGCGCCCGCCAATTTTACAAGTTTATCGGTAACATCGAGTCTACGTTGCGTGAATATATGCACATACTCACCCGTCCCCGTTTCTCCTAACACACAAATTCCTCCAATCCAGGTGGTCACAAACCATACGACTGCCTGCCAACGCAATCGTATGCCTTCACGCAAAGCACTTAACATCGGGTGCTGGACCGTGCGCACACCGCCCGACCGGAATACAAGTGAGCGTCCCGAGTGACGCACTGCACTGGCCGCGATGGAACTCGCCCGCTACAACATCGATATTGCTGCACTCAGCTAGCATCGGCTCGCTGACCAAGGCAAGCTGCATCAGGCTGGTACTGGTTACACAGTCTGCTGGGTGGGAACGCCACCACAGCAGCACCTGAACATGGGATCGGATTTGCACTGTCCGATCGCCTAAATGGCCAGTTGGCGGGTGAGCCGACTGACATCAGCGCGCGACTGATGGCTCTCTGTTTGCGACTGGGAAGGGGGCAAGTTTGCCACTGTTATAGGTATGTATGGTCCCACAATGGGCCTCATACTGGAGTTGATGTTGCACACATGATGTTTCTTCGCCGTAGTTGGATTAAACCGAGTTACACTTAAACCAGATTTGTTTACTATGGATAAAAGTTATTCCACCTTATTTGAGTTGTTTAGTTAGGTTCTTTTGCTGCATATTCTGCGTGTTTGCTTTCCTTCAATTTCTATATTGGTTGTTTGATACCCTCGGTGTGGGTGCGCATGACATGCATGTTGCCATGGTGCATACCTGTCTAATACTCTCCAACACAATTGCTGGCTCCATGAGACTGAATCGTTGCTTGGGGGGGCGGGGGAAAGATGCACGGTCCTCGTGGCCGTGCTAGGCTCAAAGTGTGGTTCCATGCACCCAGTGTGGAGCGGACTCCAGCCCAACCACGGCCTTATGTACGTCTGGTACTCATGATTCTTCAGTTCGACTGACTGGAATGCTGCTGCTGTGCATGTTGAGGAAGTGTGGGCCGGCTCCGTTGATGAAACGTGGCTCCCATCCACATGCCTCCCGGTCTTATTTCTTCGGGTTTACTCTGGATATGGAATGTGTGGATAGAGATGTGGGTGGCGCAGAGCAAGCCACCAATAATCGCTCTGTAGGCGCAGGCATCATGTGGCTGTCCTATGAAGGCTGCAGTGACAAGCAAATCCATAACCGAATGCCGCGAACAATTAAGATATGTGCGTAGGTAGCGGAGGTGGAGTTTGCATATATTGCATTTCCTCACTGCAGGTGGGCTAGAGTGATTTACGCTTAACTTGTTTCGCATTTAATTTTATTCGCTCAGTTCTGTTAAGCATCCGCACATTCCCCTTTAATAACGCGTGTTTTTATTACCTTTCATATTCTGTGATAGTCGGTTGATATCCCCTAAATTTCAATTATACTTTTTCTAGATCACCTGTACAATAGATCAAAATTCGTACACCTTTTTGATTTGCTCAGTTCTATCATTCTGTTACATATTTAGTATTCAGTCTGCGCGTTTGTTTTCTTTCATATTCTTTCCTATCCAAAGTGATGCAAATTCGGTTTCGGATGCAGCAAATTATAGGTAGCAATGTTGCTTAGAGTTGTATATGTGCTGCAGTATTTATTACTATGTTCGGTCGGATGGTCAACGTAAGAAGGGGTAAAAAGCAGTCTACAACGTGGATGACAGGCGCCCGCGGATTGGATAAGATCATTTGAACAGGCAAGGACCAGTGACTGTATTTAGTGGCGTGTCACATCCGCCACATCGCACTGCTGCTAAGCAGACATTTGTGGCTTTTTAGGGGGAGAGAACGCTTGCCAGGCGGAAACCCACCACCTCCTGGAACATTGCTGTCAAATCAGATTTACCCGAACCGCTCAGCTGGCACCACGGAGAAGTCTCTCGTCGAGCTAGCCTTGCAGATTCACCAGGAGTATAGCAAACATCCATTATGAGGAATTGATCAGACGCGTGAACGACGAGTCACAGGATTGGATTGATGCAAACAATGGCGTACCATACCTTTTCTCATTCATTTGCATCCACAGCGCCTTTAGATTACTCCTTAAGGAAATCGTGTTCTTACATAGATCTCTCAAGACGGTTCTTAAAGGGTGCGAAGACCCTTAAATGCGTACCGTTCGTTGAGTGACCAATCCCGAGTCAACCAGTGGCATGCTATTCTGTTACTCTTCTGATGTACTGTTGGCTGATTTGAGAGTGTTCACTTAACGAACAGTACGTACTTAGAGGCGTTCAAGCTCCCCGGATGCAAGTTGATAGTGGTAAAGATTATTTCGAGATTTGCAGAGGAACATAATTTCCCCAAGAAGAAATTTGAAAACGACATGGATGCAAGTGAACGAGAAAAGTTGTGGTACTGGAGGAGAATGAAACACTCGCTACGTACATATGTGTGTACTCGGACGATACAGACAAAGGAGTAAATTTCACAGAATGCACTGATGTTTACTCTGGGATTCTATCGCAGCCGGAGTGCATGGTAAGCCGGAAAAATCAAGTAGATAAAATGACGTGCTAACGTAGCATACGGGAAGGATTGATAGTGCAATGGGAGCAGTGAAATAGCCCACTTTGCAGCCAGTAAGGACCCTCGCCAACACTGTTTCGACGAATGTGTATGCACATTGTGAATATAATGTAGATTTGGTGTAGACTAATCGATCCTTTCCCGAACAAACTCTTGTAAGGTGATTTGATCATCCTGCTCGGGCAAGTGGAACACAGGGGAAGTCTGTCCAACTGCGAAGTGCTAAGGTGTCGCAAAGGAAAACAGAAGTATTTGAAATGGATATTTTATTCGCAGTAACCCTCGCGCACAGTTGAAGCACACCGTGAGAAAGGATGGGAAATATAGGGGAAAATACAGCGAAACATAATAATTATGCTACTCATGAGTAGTCAAAAGCTAAGAAGCAGTGAAATGGGGGACAAGTCGAGATGGGTTTGAAAATTAGATTTCCAATGCACAAGAAACAGGGAGGCATGGTGAAAACTCGAAAGAATGTGCAGAAATAAAGGAGCTAAGTAGATTCGCTTCATATGCGACACCGACTTTCGAAATGGAATGTGCGCTTTGTAATGTTTTAGTGTGACTAAGTGGATAAAGAAAGAGGTAACCAGTGCGGTGACCCTTTTAAAGGTGCGAGACAGATGATGCGGAATGAGGTTGGAGTATGTCACAAAAGTAGATTACCAGTGTGCGTAAACATGAGCTTTCGGTCTGGAAGCCTTATCACGAGGTCGTGGAACTATGGCAATAGTTCATAACACAGGCCAATTTTGCAGATGGGAGCAGTACAACATAACCCTCCACCGCCAACCTGGTGGATCATAATTTTGGTTTAGTCTAACCTCAAAGTACAGATTATTATAGTAGGAAACCAAAGGGATTACTCAGCATAGCTCAAAAGATTGGAGAAGTACGCAAACCATCGCACCACGTTACTACTCAGTTCTGTCGCGATGCACAAATGCCAGACCAAGCTGCTTAGCAAAAAGCACTCACAGGTAGATAATGGCAGAATAAACGTTAAACATACGTGACCACTATCCTCAAAGGTAATGGAAACGCAGTTCGAACCATCTAATTTACGACCCAATATATTCTGGGCTGAATGATAATATCCACCGGAAAGTCAGTAACCACCTGCAGATGGCGAGGTGAGCCATAGATGGGCGTAGTCGGTGCGAATAGTGGTGGAGTTTCCCCAGATACATACCTATGAACGCCTTAAAAAGCAGTGGCAGGTAACAAGACTGAAAAACGGTATGCAGTGACATAAGGGACCAACCGGTGTTGCTTAAGAGATACAATTATCCGGCCACTTCAGATATAACCAAGGTAGTCCTTGGGTCGCGGGTGTGACAACTAGTTACTTGCACCAATACGGCTGCGTTTATCACATGGCCTGCAGGGGGTTCGGGCATTAGAGGCTGACGGTGAATGAAAGCATTCAGAAAGTCCGGAAAAGGCGTCTTTTCAGCTTCTATGAACAAACTTGATCCGTGGAATAGCCACCTTAGAGTTGATTCGGACGTGTCAACGCCAATCGTTAGCCCGATAACGTTCAACTAATCTTCATGCAATCCGTGAAACAGTCGGTGGGGGATAACTACTACAAGTCGAAAGATCGAGAACTGAATATTTAAGCCAGGGAGTGGACGCGTATTCGCACTCATGAGGTGAAGAATATAGCTTGCAGTTCACATGCAATTTATGCACTGAATCTCAAAAATGAGTGCAAGATCATTGATACCAGTAACTGTGGGCAGTTGCTAAGCCGAGTGTAACGTCTGAATCCTGTGCAACGAATGCCAATGGAGATGGAACATGTATCCTTGATGGATATTTCTGGACCGCTAAGTTGATAGCAATCAACCTAATGTCTCAATGCCACTTTGCCAATGTTTGAACCATTGAGCCCCTCAACCAAGGGATGTAAGAACAGCTACCCATACAGTCACGCTTTTTCTTATCAGGCTATGCTGGTATGAAAATGGTGTCCTGATAGGGGGATGGAATTGAAATCGACACGAGAACCGCTTGAAGCATGCCTCATGTGGCGGCGAGTTGTTGCGGAAACAAAAAGTGCAAACTGACCTTGTGTATATTAAGGTCATGAGGGGACTGGTGGTGGCAGGAGCGACAAGGTAGAATGACTGGATCGCGGGTGCATCCAACATCGAGAATTCAGTCTGTAATCACGTGAATGCGACGAATGTTTTGCGAATACGCTTATAGGCAAACCTTTCACAGCCTGTAGCATTCACTGATATATGATTAAGGGAACATAAATGACGACCAATTGTCAAACGTAGTCTAGAGAGAACCGCCGTCTTTACTGCACGAATAAAGCGGGAGGCATCGGTAGCACGCCGGTACGCAGTACCGACGTTTCGCTGCCGCGCAACCACCATCAGTCGCACGTGAGCTAAGGATACTGCGGTGGACGCCCAGTCCCTACGCAGGCTCGAACCTGTGTCCTCCGATTACAAACAGGCTTGTGATCCTTAAGGCTAGCATCTGTGGATGGACTGGAAACTACTAGGTAATTTAATGTTGCGTCTCCTCAAAGAATTCTTCACCCACATTTCCATTTCTGGTTTTGTTTATGAACGATGAAATGGGAATATTTGGTTTGCTGAAGCCCAGCATACCACGTGATTCACTAGGGCTCGAAGTATTCAACGCGTGTATGAATCGCGATACACAACTTCTATTGGGACCTCGGTGTACTCGGGGGAAACCTCGGCTATTCCGATCACCTTCTGATGAACAGTATCCGAAGAGGACGGTATTCGAGAACTGTCCTACCTATAACTGTTTTAACGACTAGCAGGATAACTAGAGCTCGTTGAGCGAGGAAAGATATGTAGACAACAAAGATGGAATTGTGATAATTGGATTTAATAAAATGCAAGCAAGTACGGCATCCTATACAGATGTCAATCAGGATCAGGCGTATCAGATAAAAAGTAAGATTTGCTCTGAGTTTACTGACCAATTTCGTCCAAAGTTTCTAAAAGATGCGGTAATTTGAGAATTGTGCACACGAAAAGCAATTGATTCCGGCTCTCTGATCCACCGTCGTTAAGCAAGCAACTGATAAATGCTTCGCGCTGAGCTGCATTGGGCGGTCGGTCCAAATCAGAGAGCCAATTCGTATGGTTCTGATCTTCAAGGGTGTTGGTAAGTGTCTGTAAAAGGGTGAACACGTAAAGGGGCCGGATATAAAAATACGGAATATGTTCTCACAACTGCTACTATCCCCGGATTTAATTTGTTACGGTGTTGCTCGAATGAATGTCGGATTAAGCTGGTTCTGTGAAGAGTTCACACAATGGAAGAAGCTGTGGACGATGCTTAGTTTCAACCATCAAAGTGGAAAGTTGCATGCTTCGTAGGTGGAAATATCGAATCATCCTAATTTAGCATCAGGTGAAAAGAAAGGTTTCTCTAGAAGTGGTTATAGTGTCTGTGGACTCGCTCTAACATTAATGATTCGGTGTTGATCACATGCGCTTAAGAAAAAAAAGCAATTGACCTGTACAATGTAGTACGGTGGATCCTGATGAATGGACTAAGAAAACAATAAACGTGATATTAAAAACTTAAAAAACAATCGAAAAGATTGTTAGATGAAAGAGTAAAACCGTAATTAGGATTGTAAAATCGAGAGCTGGCTTAAATTCGTGACTGCGCCAGGGGTAGTATAGTCAAAAAGTACCTACCAAGACGGGTGGACACTGGGTGGGCGAATGGCATGATCAAGCACGTACCAGGTCTGGGTTCAAAACACGGTCCCCAGTGATCGAGGTCATACACTAAGGTGTTGACTTTAGCACTAATACCTCGATGCTCCTATCAAAAGCAAATGATGAATCGGAGTAACCGGTGGACGGAGGTTGATAGTTTTACGATCGTGCCAGGGTACAACGACAATCAGTTACATAGGACGCACTGCATCGTCGTAAGTCTGGCTACTCCAGGCTCCATACGTAAGTGAAACAACAGGTAGTCACACGGTTCTAATCGAATCGCGTGATAAACTATCGGAAGTGGGCGGCGTCGTAGTATACCCAGCAGACGCACGACTAGTGGTGATCGCGTGGCAACGAAACGTCGTTACGACTTACTGGAGTTCTGCTGACGCCTTTTCGTTTGAATACATACCCACAAAGAGATAATGTATAGCAGTGTTAACGAGCCGAGGAAACTTTTGACGTTGTTTCGGCCGGAAGCAAAACTGCGCCCCAACTATAACGCTTTTTATTATTCGTCGTACTAGTAGATATATGTCCGATGCTGCCCGTTCGCATTAGACTACTGGTTAAATCTACTGCGCTAACTAGATCATGCAGGACAACTGGAGTATAACTTATATTTATTATCTTTAGGATAACAAATTGTGAGGTTTAACGTAATGTAAAAGGATGGGGACTTGACTCGTTCAATTCGGAGACGGATTAATTTGGCCCCGAGAGAATACAAGTCCGCTCCTTTAATAGGTGGCCATTTAAGCGTTCGGCGATTGCATAGAAGACATCATGTTCATGCGGTCCTGCGGTTGCGTTATCAGTTTAATGGTCGATTTAACTAACACCAGTCTCACGCGACAACCTACGTCGAAGTATCCGTGCTTCACTACGATCCAAATCATATTGAGATATAACCAGAGTTTAGTTTATACACCCCGTTGTATCCAGCAGGTAAGGTAATCCATGCGCCTCGCTGCCCGATGCAGTGCGAAAATATTTGTAGCTGTGCGGCGCATGACTTGTAAATGGACTGACATATTGTCAGGGTAGTCACATTTGAAAAAAGAGGAACGTCTCGGGTAATCAGTCAAGACCTTCGATAAAATGTACTCCCGGAAGGCGACTGAGAAGTGCGCAATGAGTCTATCGACTAACGTGGATGTAGATGTGTCGTGGCTCTTAGGAATAAGAAAGGTGTAGCCCAACTCCCAATTAGCGATCGCCAAGAAAAGGCGACCAGGATATGAGTTCGGGCAGAAGTAGAGCGGGAGCCGACCAATTGTCAGGATTTCGCTAACACAAGATCAGGCGAGCGATGGACTCTCCTGCGCTGAGACCTGTCGTGGCGAGATTCTGACAGATCGTGGACCCGCTGCTCCCAATGTTGTGTCGTGGACTCACGTCCTGGACGCCTCCACGTGGCGACCGATGGGTGGAGGTTGGGTTACACCCTTTTTACAGGATGCACACTACCGCGTGAGTCGGGTAACTGACTCATGGCGCACGGCCCACTGCCTTTCGGGAGCACATTTTATCGAAGGCTATAGGTGAGGATCCGAGTCGTTCTCCTGTCTGGAGCGGGTGCTCTGGCAGTATTCCAGTCGAAACCCAAACCACGAATTACGCCAATAATACTACTACTACTACTAATAATAATAAGGCCGTGCTGCATCGGCCGTCGCGCAGTGGTATCAAGAAGAGTCGCTTTATCTGCTGCATACATAGGGGTGGATAAGCGAGAACATGCTACCGTTGACGCCTCCCTTTTTCCTTCTTCCCCCGCACATAATTTCCCCGTCCCCATTTCAGCTAACCCCATACTTTCTCCAATACAGGTCACCACTCGTGTGGCTGTCGGAACAGCAATCGTATGCCGCTACGCAAAGCACTCAAGATCGGGTGCTGGAACGTACGCACACTACTCGACCGTAATACGAATGAACGACCCGAGTGAAGCAATGCAATAGTTGAGATGGGACTTGCGCGCTAAGGGATCGATATAGCCACATTCAGCGAAACTTGGTTAGCTGACCAAGGCAAGCTGCATCAGGCTGGTACTGGTTACATATTCTACTGGGTGGGGAACAACAGCACCATGTGAACATGGGGTCGGATTTGCACTATCCGACCGCCTAAATGGCCAACTGGTGGCAGAGCCACTGGTATCAGCGCACGAGTGATGACTCTTCGTCTGCAACTTGGGAGAGGTAAGTTTGCCACTATTATTAGTACGCATAGTCTCACCATGTGCTATCCTGATGACACAAAATACCAATTTTACACTCAGTTGCCCTCCGTGAGATGGTCTGTGCCAAGGAGCGACTTGCTAGACCCAAGAGGTGATTTTAACGCGCGCGCTGGGTGTGACGCCGCAGTGTAGACAGACGTAATCGGTCCGTATGGTATTGGCACAACCAATGGGAACAGTGACCGACTGCTTTTACTGTGCGCTACTCACGGCCTGACGATCATGAACACATGCTTTGCGCTAAGTGCGAGTGATATAGCTACTTGGACGCACCAACGGAGCGGTCACATTTGCCTGCTGGACCATGTCATCGTACGCCAACGTGCCATGTCTGAAGTGCGCATAACACGTGTACTGCGTGGAGCTAAGTGTGGCACTGATCTCAAGTTAGTGCGGATCAAAATGTACATACATGTTCAGAAATCTATGTATTGCTCACGTGTCGTAAACCGGCGAAAATATAGCGTAATTTCCTCAGGTAGTGCTAAGAAGAGGATGGAACTGGAGAACGCGATGGCTACCTGCATTGGGTGTTGGGAAGAGATGGCGAATGGCGACAGCATATGCAGAGAGCGGTTGCCTAAGTGCATGAGAAATCTATGTTGCATGCGGAAAAGAAACGTCGGTTGAAGAAGCGACAGGCGCCGATGGTGGGTGGCCCATCGAGGTTGAGCGCATGCGGTCGCGAGTATCTGAGCCAAATTGGTTTGGTAAGCCACCAGCGTTGCCACGTGGGTCCAATATCGGGGAAGCGACTGGTCATTTAAATAGGTAATCCTCATCAGCACATCACTGCTTCCGGTTCAATTCCATCTACTAACTTTGGTCAATAATGCGGGTTGATGTGGCATGTGTGCTACATCACCGCTGCAGTTGATCTGTACGTGCGCATACGTGCTGAGTTTCTTGCATTTCAGGCGTTAGCCGTCGACTGATATCCCCGATGTGGCTGCGCTTTATGGGAATGTTAACAAGGTGCACTCCTATTTAACACCGTCCACCAGGAGGCTGTGAATCGTTGCTGGCGGGGACAAGATGCACGGTCCTCGTGGGCGTGATAGGTTCAAAGAGTGGTTCCATGAATCCAGTGTGCAACGGCCCAGTCAAGACCTTGTGTACGTCTAGTAAAAATGATTCCCCACATAGATAAACAGGAATACTGCTGATGTGCATGATGAAAAGTTGCTCCCATCCACATGCTTCCCGGTCTTATTACTTCAGGTTTACACTGGATATGCGGTATGTAGACTGAACTGTGGGTGTTGCAGCGCAGGCCACCCATGGTTCCTCTGTAGGCGCAGGCGTATCGTGGCTGTCTTAAGGTCGCAGTGGCAGGCAAATCCGGAACCGGATACTGCCAAGCATATAGATATTTCAACAGTCTAAGAACGGGCACAGAGCTATCAAAAGACATAATGATCAGAGAAATGTAGTTTGCATAAAGAGAGAACCGAACACAACATAGAGCAGTCAATGGTTTCGTTAGAGGGAGTCGTATCAGCCGGTAACCAGAGTCGAAGTGAGAGTATGATTTAGGGGACACAACCCCGACCTTCGGGTGAATAGCCTACCAACAAGCAGCGGAAGAAAGTCAGAGCATCGTACCCAATGGGAGCCGGTGGCCAATCATTCAGTACATACGCCTTTGTTCGGCAACTGGCCAAACCAAATGCCCTATCTGCCCTGCGTCCATCGTCTGGGCTGCAGTGCTTCATTGTGAAGCAAGGAGATAGTGACTTCAGCTGGTGGCGAGTCACATTCGTCACGTTAAAATACCGTTAAACAGATATGTGGGGCTTTTGTAGGGAGAATGCTTGCAAGGCGAAACCAACCAAGTCCTGGAACGCTACCCCAAAACCATCGTATGGAACCGAATTCTCCAACTCTTAAAAGGAGAAGGTAGTTAGACAAGCCAGCCTTGATGCAACCACCTCAAGTACGTACTCCATGAGAATGGTAGCTTTCGCGTATGGAATTCATGAAGGATAGCTATGAAGTGTGGTTTCTACATTGAACAGATCACTGTTTCTGAATTTGACATCGGTGAGTGATCGGTAGAAAAGGTCTACCAAATGTGGACGCTCACTTTTGGCACAAATGCACTGTCAAGACCTCACTGTTAAAGGAGTTCACATACCCATCGGAAAGGCATGTGACAAACGAGTGTCGGTTCCACAGCAATTGTGGTTTC